GTGACCGGGCAGGCACCACGGTGACCAGCCATTTCTAAGAAACAAAAGGAACAGGAACTGGAACTATTACTATCTGGGCAACTGACAAACTCAAGTATACTGGCTGGGAGAGGGGGCGTCTCCTGCTACAGGTGGGGAGCTAGAAGCCAGTCCCCCCCCAACAACCCAGTTCTTGAGCTTCCTAAGAGGAGCTCTGGGGCATAGTTTAAAATACAGCTTTCATTTTAGTTTCTGGTACTGGGAGTGGAGCTCAGGGCCTGTTGCTTGCCAGGAAGGTGCTGCGCCTCTGAGCTGCATCCGGGGCCAAAACCATAGTGTTGAAAGTCTCAGTCTGACCTCGCTGTTTCACAGGTAAGGACGTCCAGCTCGGTGCAGCCACTGGCTGGCCTGCAGACCAGGCTGACATTGCCCAGGGCCTTCCCCACTGCTCAGGAAAGTGACTCCCCCTCCCCTTAGCCTCCAGGCGAGGCCCCTCCCATCTGTCCCTTTGATGCCATCTTTCCTCTTCCTGGAAATGCTAGCAATTCTCAGGATGCTTTCTGCGCATGCCCATCACTGAGACACTGACCCCTTCACCAGCAGGGACATTGTTGTCTGTTTCCCTTTGTCTCCATTCTAGAACTTCAATTAGAGCAGCACAGCCAGAAGCCCCTGGGAGGAGAAGAGTGTCGTGTTTGTCTCTGTCCTTAGTGTAGCTCAAAAAGTTTGGTAGCGAACGTTGGAAATAAAACTATCTCAAAGTCAGAAAAATCTGTACCAGACCCCACTCGGGCCTTTTTAAGGTTAGTTGATATTGTCCTACCTACTTCATTCCTGCCTTCTCGGCCCTAAAATAAGGAACTTGAATTTTAGTGTCATCAAGAACTCTTTTCTTTTGAAAATACCACAGTGCTGTTTTCCTGTGCTCCATGAAATACACCCTGAAGGTGCTAGGCAGGAACTCAAATTATTTTTTAAAATGTATTAATTTCATGAAATGCTGCATGTTGATGTGTTTTTTCTTCCACACGTATATTTGATCATCTCACCCTCCCTTTCACTGTCCTTATGCCTTCTTGCCCCTTCCCCGTTCCCCTTCCTAGAGCAATAGTCCCCCTCATGCCTTCATAGCATTCTTTAGAAACTCCGCGTGTGAAGGAAAACACGCAGCGCACATTTCTGTGTCTGGCTCATTCCCCTGAACCTGGTGATCTCCAGCTGCATCCATTTTTCTGGCAAATGGCGTGGTTTTGTTGTTCTTCACCCCTGAACAATACTCATGTTGTGTAAACGCCACGTTTGCTTTGTCCATGCATCTGCAGGTGGACACCTAATCTTGGCTGAGCCTCTGTACGCAGAATCACCTACAGTACAGTGACTGTCATTTCAGTTGCTGGGCCATATGGAAGGTCTCTTTTTAGTTCTTTGGGGAAACTTTATACGGATTTCCATGGCACCTGTACTAATTCACGTTCTCACCAGAATTGCGGAAGGTTTCTTTCCCCACACACATCACCCCCAACATTTATTGTTTTCTGCATCCTTGATGACAGCAATTCCAAGTGGGGCGAGATGGAATCTCAGTATAGTTTCAATCTTCATTTCTCTAGTGACTGAAAGTATTTGCCCACATATTTATCATATGAACACTTTATCATATATGTATTGGTCAGTTGTACATCTTTTTTTTTTTTTGCTCCGAATGCCTTCAGGGCAGGCTTGGCTGGCTTGAGTTGTGGGGATCGAACCACAGCAACCTGAGCCTGACTGCTTTGTTGAAGCAGCCATTTAAAGAACTGAGCTAAGGGGTAGGCCCCCAGTTGTACATCTTGAGAAGTGTTCATTCAACTCACCTACCCATTGATTGAGCTATTTGATTTTTTTGATGTTTTTATATCTCTTTGTATATTCTAGATAATCCTCCTTCAGGACAGAATCTGTGAAGATCCTCTCCCATTCTGCCCACTGCCTCCTGGCTCTGCAGTTGCTTCCCTTGTTATTTTAAATTTGAGGTGGCATCTTTGTTGAAGGTGCTCCTCATTCTTGTTCTCTGCAGGCAGCCTTTACCCTATTGTCCTGTTCAGTTCTCTGCAGGCAGCCCTTGCTTGGGCCTGTGGTGTCACGTGCTTCCCCGTGCTTTCTTCTAGCAATTTAAATATTTCAGATTTTGCACTTAGGACCTAAATATATGGCACAAATCTCTTTTGGATTGTTTTTGGAAAGGGTAAAAGGATCTAGTTTTAACCTTCTACAAATGCATAGCCAGGTTCCCAGGGCCATTTGTTTATTTTTGTTGTTGCTGGGGTTTGTTTTCATTTTGGTGTTTTTGTTTCATAATGCGGAGCCGAACTTGGGACCTTGTGCTTACGAGGCAGGCACTTATGCCACTAAGTTAGATGCAAGGCCCTCCAGCACCATTTATTAAAAAGGTAATCTCTTTTCCAATGTATATTTTTCACTCGTTGTCCAGAATTAAATGCTGTCGCATGGGTTGGCTTCTTTGCCCTCTATTCTCCTGGTGCATGTGTCTATTTGAGCCAGTGCCCTGCTATGCTGTCACTCTGGCTTTGCAGTATTAATTGAAGTCTGGTATTGTGACACATCCAACCTTGGTTTTTGGGCTTGGGATCGCTCTAGTTATTGAGTCCTTTGTGTCCCCATATGCATTGTAAGATTATTTTTTTCTAATTCTGTGAAAATTGTCATTTCAGACTTTTGTGGGGGTTACACTGGCTTTGTAGATTACTTTTGGTGTTGTGGCCATTTCAACAATACTAATACCGCCTATGCATAAGCGTGGGCTGCTTTTCAATCTTCTAGTGTCTTCTCGAATTGTTTTTCTTCACTGCTCTGTAATTTTTACTGTAGAGGTCTTTCACTTTCTTGGGGTAATTTCTAGTTTTCATTTTTCTTTGGTTCTATAGAGAATGGCACTGTTTTACTGATTTTTTTCTTAGCTATTGATGTACAGAAAAGCTATTGGGTGTTTTGTTTTGTTTTTTATTCTGTTTTGTTGGTACCAGGGACCAAACTCAGGACCTTATGCTTCCCAGACAGGCATTTATGCCCCTAAGCTATTGGATTTTTTTGTTTTTTGTTTTTGTTTTTTTGCAGTACGGGAGATTGAAGTCAGGACCCTGCACTTGCCAGGCGCGCACTTATTCTACTGAGCTATCTTCCCAGCCCCCAGCTATTGGATTTTTAATGTTGACGTTGTACCCTATAGAACTTGAATTAATTATATACATATGTATAAAGTGAAATATACATATAATTGAATATATAAGTATTAATCAGTGTAATTTCGCTCATAATTGCTTGATAAATGTCTTTTCCCCATTTAATGTTAGACATTATAATTAAGCATATATGAATGTTACTTTTCAACATGTCAGTGATTAGGAGGAGAGCTTAGGTATCATACTGCATAAGATGAAATCTTCATTCTCCCCTTAATTAGTGAGGTGACTATAGGTAATATATTTAAGTTCCTCATCCCTTCCTTTCTTCATTCAACTAGTATGACGTTTAATAAAAACCACAAAACTAAAATGTTTAGTATCATACTGGGCACCTAATAAATGTTTGAAAATATTCATCGGAATTATAAAGCAAATGTAAGAATAGTGCTTGACAGTGTTTTCTATAAATTCTGTGTTTTCTATAAAATTCTTTCTTATGTTTTAGGAGACAAATTCACACAGCAAAACAAGGTAAGAGACATCATTAGAATATATTTGTTATTATTTTCTTTAAAATCAAAGAATTGTAGGTGAGGTGAAGGCTTACGGATGACTTGAAAAACTATGCCATAGGAGCTGGTCATAATTAATAATTTATGATTATAAGCCAAAAAAATGAAACATGTAGCAATTGGCACTGCTGAAAAAGCAACAAATTTAATTTCTGACTTTTTTTTTTTCTTTGCAGACCCCTATACCACCACCCAGGTAAGACATTTAAAATCATGTAGCTTTTTCTTTTTATTCAGATAAATGATGTGTCACAGCAATCGCAAAGGAGAAATATAAACACTTGACTGTGAGAAAATGAGTTGACCAATACCAAGCCTTCATTTGTCCATTTAGTCATTCATTCATATTTTATTAAATATACCCTCACTCATTTTATATTCTTTACTTATTTATGTATTCATTTACTTGAAGAGAGGCATGAGAAAGATTTACTAGAGATAGACATAGAACACATGCGAGAGAGGAGTGGGGGGTGCTCAAAGAAATGAAGTGCTTCATTCTCTGTATGAAAAAAGAAAACAAAATTTCCCAAAATAATAAAAGTGGCAATAGTTAATACACCATTTGTCACTGTCTTCAGAGTAGTTACTCAGAATTGAAAATGTGGCCAAAAAAAAAAAAAAAAAAAAAATTCTCTCTAACAAAGAAGAAACAAACTTAATAGTACAAAACTTTCCTTTCAATGAGCTAAGAGAAACTAGTATTATAAAAGTAATAAATCAGCATGTGCATTAAAATATTTGAAACAAATAAGAAATTTAGGAAGTAATTTGAATTACTCCCTGTTCCTGTTCATCTAGCTTCCATTTTGCTCTTATTCGCTGTATGCATGCATATAAATATATGTGTAGAGTTTCTCAAATAAGAGAAACCATGTGACATTTAAGCTTTGTGTCTCACTTATTTCACTTTCAATGTTATATTCTCAAGGCGCGTCCATTTACCTGTGGATTCCCCAAGTTTATCTTCCTTTATGCAGAACAGTCCTCCTTTGTGTGTAACCACCACACTGACTTCAACCATTCAGCCACTGATAGACATACATGCTGTTTCCAAGGTCTGGCTATTATAAACTGTGCCGCTACAATCTTGGGTGTGCATGGATCCCATCCCTGTAAGATGATAATTTTAACTTCTTGTTAAACAAAATTTCTATTTTTAGTTTTTTGAGGATTTCCATAGTGGTTGTACTAGTTTACATTCCCACCAGCAATTCCTTCTTGTTTCTCTCCATTCTTCTACCAAAGAAATCTGCCAGCGCTTTGATGGATATACACTTACACTCAGATTCAAGAGCCACTCAGCAGAGAGCCAGTGGCTATGTACGAGACTTACCATATATAAATATATGCTCATCTGAGCACATGCATTTATGTGCCATCCACGCATAAGGCCGCATAATACTCCACTCCACATAGACATGGACATCAAAGCAGCAGAAAGCTGCGGAGGCTCTCAGCGTGCAGCCACGTTCACCACGGGCCTGAGCCCTGTGGCTGCCTCTGCCAGCCCTTTGTACAGCTCTGTAACTCAGTTCCTCAGTCCTGTCTCTTCCTTCCCTTGGAAGCGTCTCCAGCCAAGTGCAGCCCTTTCCTCGCCACACCCTCAGCATCTACCACAACACCACACGTGCTTTCTGAATGAATAAGCAAACCAAACTGCTGAATGACTTTGTGAATTGGTCTTCATTTACTTCTAAACAGTTCCACATTTCCTTGGGGACCTTTAAAAGTTCAATTCTTTCAGCCTGTGATAAAAAGAAGTTTGCTGTCCTCTTCCCCAGCCTCCAGAAACTCACTTTGGTGGCATATTGAAACGTAAATGACACCCTGTAGAAAAGTACATCACCCTCCAGAAAACAGCACCAAACCAGAGAGCAGGGCTGCAGGGAGTTTGCTTAACATTTGCTAGAAGAACAAATATGCTAACACTTGAGGCTGCCTCAAACAGCTCAGGCTGCCTTGTCAACCACTGAGCATCTCACAACCCAGATTTGGGACAGGGAGGGCCGGGCAGGGGGAATGCATTCAAGGGGTGAAAAGCCAGCTGTGTCACCAACCTACTCAAACCCTCCCGGGACTCTTCATGCAGGCCTCCTCCCACCCTCCCGAAGAAGTACCAGCCCTTGCCCCCTGCACCACCGGAGAACCACACACCTGCCCTACAGCGGCCCACCTTCCCAGAAGCCCAGAGGGGGCCCAGGTGAGACACATGACCTTGCTACTGTGCAGTGCCCAGGAAGAGCTACTGGGTGGCCTGTGGGAGGGTGACAGAGTCACCTCCTAAGGAAGAAGCTTCCCCGGGGAGAAGGGTGGGGAGAGCTCCCCTTGGGCAAGGAAGACCAACCATGCCTGTGAGGAAGATAGTTTTAGAAACCTATGGCTTTCTACTTCCTAGAAAATACAGCTTTGTAAGAAAGTGAGCTCTTGACAGAATTGCTCCTTTGAGGCCTGGGTTAGTTACTGAAGAAACTGTTCCATGCCAGGAGGAAAGCAGAACATTATATGTAAAGACCAGAAAGAGGTTCCCACTACTCCAGGACCAATCCAGGGGGCAGTTTTCTTCCACTCTGGCTGGAAAAATACAGCCTGACCTGAAAAGCCTTCTATTAAAAATATTATTGCCTTTTTGACAAATAAATATTGCAAAACCAGCCCTCTGGCACTAAGGGTTTCCATGGGAATTGGATTCCCAGTCCCAATGTACAGGCTGTTTGGCAGCTGATACTAATGACAAAATGTGACTAGCTCAAGTTCGTAGTGTTCCCCCCTAGATAGTTCGAATTACCAAAATTGTCCTTTGGAATTCAGAGCAAAGGGTGGCATTTCTTTCTTACTCTGCACTAGAAGAACAAGGCTTTCTGGCTGCACGTACAGGCAGGTTGAGGTACAAGTGGGACTGAGTTGGGACATGTTTCTCAGGAGTGCAGAAATTCAGGGTCTCAGGCCCACTTTGAGCTGTATGGGAGTCCTATGTATTACTGGTTTTGATGCAAGGGCTCATTCCATGGTGTCAAATGCCTTCTAAGTCTCACTCCTAATTGTCTGGGAAACGTCTCCTCGCACCTGCCCATCCTTCAAAGTCCCAATAGCAGCTTTTCCAAGTCACTCCCTCATCCTCCCTCCTGTGGAGGGTGCTCTCTCCATCTGTCATTTCACAGAGCACAGCCCCCAGCAAGGAGGACAAGTCCTCAAGGTGGACACACTGTCCTGCTTCAAACTTAGGCTCTCTTTCATTGGGGGCCGGGGCGACTTTGCCCTTTCTCCTCCCTAAGCGACAGGTAGCAATGTCTGGAGAGAATCTGGGTTGTGACAACCTGGGGGAGGGCTGCTCCTGGCATCTACTGAGTAACATCTTCAGAGCCTGGGTTACAGACCCGCAAATTTCCTGCATGGAAGGGAAGGAAGTGCATCAGCAGGTCCGCCAAGTCCTGCGCCAGTGTTGCCTGGGGCCAAGGCTTTTCTCATCGGTAAAGGATGATCTTGACACCTACCACCTACCTATTGCATTGGTTACTGTGAAAATTAAATAATTCTCCTAACATGCTAGCAGCACAAATTTATAACGAATGTTTCTTGCACACTTAGGGACTTGAGCTCTTTCTGTTCGAGCTTTTCCCAACTCCACATAGTATGCCCACATTCTGATCTGACTCTCACACCCCAAAGGGGCTCACATGGCATCTGTGTTCCCTGCACAGTGCCTGATGCACTTGTGGGTATCTGTGAGCGTGAGCGTGAGCGTGCCTGTCCGTCTGCAGCGTCTGAAGGCACCTAACCATAGAAGGAGGCATCCAAGCTGCTGTACTCTGATTTCCATTTCAAAGAGTGAGGCACTGAAACAAAGGGACATTAGTACATGTGCCATCAGAATTGGAAATACCAAGTGTTCTTTTCAGAAAACTTTTGATCAAATAGTTTGATATGTGAAAAACTGGTCTACCTGCAAAGGAGGAAATAGAAAATAGGACTAATAAGATACCAAAGGTGATGAAGTTGTTAGGATCAAAATAAGTGTATCTACTTTCTACTTCCTCATGTGTGAAAAGGCCAGGACCCTGGGGCTGGGTAGAACAGGGCTGAATCCCACTTGAGCCACTTCCAGATGTATAATTTCAGAAAGTTCCTTGACAACTCCAAATCCTGCTGCTGCATTGTCCCTATTACTTTTCTTTCATTGCTGGAACAAAATACCCAACACCATAATTAAGGAAAGAAAGGCTTGTTTAGCTCACAATTTGTGGAGGTTTCAGTCCATTCTCAGCTGACTCCAAGGCAGATGGGCACATGGCAGAGGGCAGCAGTACAAGGCAGAGAAAACAGCAAAGCAGCAAGAGCAGGAAGGGAAGGGGAGCAGCTGTGGCAACAAAAAGCAAGCCTCCCTCTCTTCCTTATATTGCATGAAGGGCATCCGCACCAGGGCAGGTGTAGCTCTTGCACCCATAGTCTCAACATTGGATCATGAATTAAACACAGACTCGAGAAGCCCATCCCATGACTGCAGAAGGCTTTGGAGGGACAACTAGACACAAGCCGTAACTTGCGTCTATTGGAATGGCGCTCTGCATTTTATGGCTCCCCACATGGACGTCATTGCAGCCAGGGCTAGGAACCCAGAGGAACCAGGTTCTAGGAGAAGCCCCTCTCAGAAGCACATTCCACATCTTATCTGCTTGCGCCCAGGTATCCAGCCTCCCTTATTGCGCTTCCTCAGCCCGCCAGCAGTCCCTCTGCTGCTAGATTCCACAAGTTCACTGAGAGGCTGGCTTCATGATGCTGGTCTCTTTAGAAACTGTGGTTTTGTACCTTAGTGTCCTTGTAGTTCTAGTTGATGATTTTCATCTTGAGGGGTGTGATGGGAATTGAGATGCACTTTTTCACTGCAAAGCCCTCTAGAGATATCACATTTCATCTTATGAACTCCATCCAGGGCTCTGTGAAGTGTGGCTTCTCCAAGGCCTAACACGGTAATGTGCCCAGCCCAGCAGAAGGCCTGTAGGCACTCAGTAAACATCATTTCCTTACCTTCAAATCTCTAAAGTTACTCAGGTGAGATTAGGTAACTCAGTGAGGTTAGGTAACTCAGAGAGGTAGGTAACGTAAAGTCACAAGATTGGCATGAGTAAAAAGCCCACAGAGTCCTCCAGGAGACACTGGGAGGCCACGAGGAGTGGGAGAATGGGGGAGTTTCCCTGTAGCAAGAGAGCTGTGTCTTCAAATGCATTGTTAGCAAGGAGCACTTGGGTGGTCGGACAGCTTTACTGATGACCCCGGTCACATGCAAATAGCTATGTGCAGACTGTGAAAACAGACCATCCACAATCTGAGCTTCTGCAGCAGCCCCCACAACCACACACACACACACACACACACACACACCCCGCTAGCACTGCTTTGTATAGTGTATGAACGGCACCCTGAGGAAGATGCAATTTCCATCTGGCCCTCAAGGGCTTCCGGGACCCCAAGAGTTGCAACCCTGGACAACTGCCGCTCACCCCGGACGGCGGCTGTGGCCCCACTGTCTTTCAGACCCATTTGTCTCCACTGGCCAGGAATTCTTTTGCTTAATTAAAGCTAAGTTTTAGCTTCACAAGATAACTGTGGAATCAAGGCAGATCAGTTAAGGGAAACTTCGTTTTAGATAACTGATCGACAACTCAGAACTAGGAGAGAACTTGAAAGTCTCGAGCGCACTACTTGTGTGCTCGCAACAATCTGTGCACTGTGATGACTGCTACGATCTCCACGGACTTAATATTTATTTTTCCTGGCTCACTTGTTTCTCAGTGAAGTAAGTGCACTTTAAAGAAATGCAACAGTGGAAGTTTCAGGCCCTAACTTTTAACCTGGGGACATTTCTCACGGCTAAAGGGAGAGATAAGGTAGATATACAGCTACTTTCTCTTAATTCAATGAGAAGAAAGATTTGTACTCATAGTTTGGACAGGATATCCTGTCTGCATCTTGTACTATAGATAACCACTACGAAGACAACAATGTACTAATTATTGAAACTGTCCTACTAATCAGCTTTGAAACTGTCTCATTGCTGTTTGTTTCTCAGTAAAATAAATAACAAAATAGGAAAAAAATTTAAAAAATAAAGGGAGAAATACATAAAGGTTAGATTGGTTTTGGGAGGCACTGGTCACAACGAAGAGACCCTCCTTGACATACTCTGAGAGGGAATTAAAAGGGGACTAACTTTGCAGCTGCTGTAATACCACGGCCAAGTACAATCAACCTGAATTATCAGAGTAGCGAACCTTTTCTGAGCGCTGACTGTGCGTGGGCCCCAGCCCGAAGCCTGCTGTCTGCACTGACGCATTTGGTCCCACAATTCTCTGTGAAGAAAGCAGTATTAATCTCCCCACTTTACTGAGGAAAACACAGAAATAGAATCCCTTATGCCACAGCAGCTCCTTTATACTTCAATAAATACAATGCCCCAAGGACTGCAGTTCAGCCAAAATATAAATAAAGTACCTCGGTGAAAAACACTCAAACCCCCTTTGCCTAACTCTGGGCTTACCTGTGCAACCAGGAATGCTGGTGTCCCACCGGCTCAAGAAATCTCAGCTGCAAAAATGTATACTCTGATGATTGCGAAGCAAAAAGAAGCTCCTATAGATGTGAAAAAAAACATGGCTCCTTCAATGAGAGACAGTATAGTTGATTGAGATGTACAAATTCACATTTGTACCTGGGAATACAGATCTCAAGGTGTGAACTTAATTATAACTACAGTTTGCAGGATTCTGAGATTGGGAGAAAGTGGGTAGAGGGCTGAGAAGATCACTGTCTCGGTTCTTGCAGCTGTAGGGTATCTGTAATTATCTCAGAGTAAAAAGCATAATCTGGAAGGAAATTGTGGGTTGAGGGCTGCTGCCTGTGAGAGTTGTGACCTCATCCCAAACAGCTTTCAGGGGTATTTTTTACTAGCATGTTCAACAGTTCTCTTTGTTACTCTCTGGATTTGTCCAGTTTATACATGTAAAAACTCCGCTGCTAGAGAGCATGGAACTTACTAAGGGAGACAAAGCTCACAGATTTAAAGCATTTAAACTTAGTCAAAAATTAAAATATACACAAAGAAGGCCCACGTTTATAGTAAACAGTAGACACCGGAAGTTCATACCCAGCACCTGTTATGCAGAGATGGAAAATGGGATGAGTGGGCGTGTCTCCTTGGCCACCTCTAGCAGGTGGACGAAGCGCACAGTGGGCTGCAGAGGGAAGGACCCAGAATCAGATGCTGGATTCCTCACCAGGTCTATATGGAAGGACTTGATGCAGCCTCTGGGATTCTGTCCTAAAGTTCAGTTTGCTCACGTGATGGATTCCAAAGCGTAGGTAGGCTCTTAAAGGCTCTAGTGCTGACCTAGAGAGTACGTTGCTGTACATAAATTCTAAACAGAAAGATAATCACTGCTTATTCTACTACAAGTGTGAACTAATTCAGCTGAGCTAGGTTAAGGAATCTTGGGGTTAGATTTCCTTAAAAACTCAGCCAGATCAACTTAAATACATGAAATGCCTTTATAAATGGAAAAGATTTGATTTTTACATACTCCTAATGCTGACCAGGCAGGCTTAAACCTAGCAAGCAAAACTTTCTTCAACAATTGTTATCAATTGAATAGTATAAATACAAGAAAACTCAACTTCTCTTCCACAGTTCAAACTCTGCAAATAAAATGTATCTTCACTATTATAATTTAAAATTGCAACCCTAAAGTCTACATTTTTAATTGAAGTTATGTCACCTATCAATCAGTAACTCCAATATGCCAGTCTCTTAAGCATTAACAACCCTGAGATTTAACCTCAAAATAATTGACATTTATGGGCATTTGCTCTACTCAGTCCCCTCTCTTCATCTTCTCACTTGCCAGCTAAAAGGGAAGAGAGAGTACAGAGGTGTGTTGTCTGCCTGCTTGGGGCACTCAAAGGAGATTTTCACAGATGAGGTCCCAAGATTAAAGAGCACGTGTGTGAGAGACATCAGCAACAGGAGCAGGCAGTGTGGAGCAGAGCAGAGGAGGGAACCACCTGCATCTTGCTGCATAAGTCTTACACAGGTTGTTCTCTCACCTTTACATTCTTACGTAGTGCTATAACCAGCACCTGTGTTTTGCCTGTGCTAAGTCATGACGACATAACTCTATCCCACTGTTAGCCTATGCTAGAGCAGGAGAGTCACATCCTCAGGTGTCCTTCGACACCCCTGAGTTTTGAAGCAGTCTGAATGGTTTCCTACCTGCTCTGTCCCACACGCTGAGCGCTGAGTTCAAACTTTAGGAATCGTGAACCTCAAGGCATCACTAATTGCTTAGAAATCTGAAACCAGGGCATAGTGATAACGCTGCATGCATGCAGGGTCATCTCGCCTGGTACAGACTCTGAGGGCTCGGGGTCCGCAGCTGTCAGTGGAGGGAGTCTTGACCTCATAGTTTCTTTCTCTGACTTGGCCACGTTCTAACAACAGTGCCTACTGCATGGCTGCTACTTCTAGTTTTATCCCCAGGAACTCTCTAAGATGAACATGCTTGTTGCTATTTTGCAGATTATAAAACAAATGAGGTTTTGAGAAGCTAAGTGACTTGTCAATAGAATGAAAGCCTTGGAATTCCTTGAAACATACCCAGTGCCCACACATCATAGAATTCTGAATCCCTTCCCTTCCGTTTCATGGCCTGCCTCCACCTCCAGATCTCTTTACTTTGATGCCTTC